GGAATTGGCAAGGGGAATCGAATTAGTGAGAGAAGGAGCTCCCCATGAGCAAAGCATCCATCAAAAGTCCTACACGACCTGACATGAGGTCGAATACCAGTCGCCTTGGTGTGTAGTTCACCGATGTTTCGGAGGAAAGTACTGTCCACATCCATGAAGATGTAGGAAGTTTGGTAGTTCACCAACGTTCTTCCGAAATATCGTGAGCTTAAACTACACGTCACCACGTGCGAGAAGGTACTTTTAGTACTCTTTCCATTCTGTTACGAGTGGCCTGTATGACGCTGTCTTCATCAGTGACGCCTAGAACGCTCCTCACAGACTACACGCTCATCTCTGCTGTCGGAGAAGTTGCCGCACCATCACAGCGATACCGTAAAGCAGAGAATTGTGAAACAAATCGAGAACTAAAATAAACAAAGAGTCCAGGAATTTTACTGGCGCCTCCAAGAAAGAATTGTGAAAATAGTGTTAAAGCTGTGCGTAATTAAACATAATTCCATGAAGACGCATTGAACTGTAGAGGTGTAGCTGCACAATCCTAATTTCAACTATATATGGATTTATAGGTTAGCTTCACTCCCAAAATTCAGAAGAAAACGTAACCGCTTGATCAGAACGGCGTTTTTAAATATGGTAATAATATTAAAAATAATATTGTCTTTTGATAAGCCGATCTCCTGTCCAGTTGAGTCCCACAAATAAGTTAAAAATTAACTGGTGTGACGCCCGTTGACATCAACGGGAAGTCTCGTCATCTGTTATATAAACTTTCGTTCTATTATTATCCTCCTCTTTCTCCCTCATTCCTTTCCAGCCCTACTTGTTATCGAATCACACGTTACCATTGAATTTTAACGCCGTCTCCCACAAATAACACGCAAAAATAGTTAATCGTAAACTGTGTCCTGTTCATAGTATTACTGCAGTTGACATATCAAGGTCAAAATATTATCAGTACTCACATAATAGGCACGATATCCGGAAACGACCACTGTTCAACTTAACTTTACAATTTGTTACTATGCTAACTTGTAATTGCGTAATTTCGGGGCTGTAAATCTTGCCGTTATGTTACTTTGGGTATATACAGAAAGGTTATGAGCCGAAATAGGTCAGTGTACTAGAAGAATATTAAAGTAGTGACATAGCTCGTTGATGCCCTCGGTTCTATGTCCTGCATATCAAATGCTCGCCTCGGATAAACTCTTTATGGAGCAACTTGGGTAATACACTTCGTAATTCGTTCGTGCGTCTCAACATTGTCTGCTTCGAATTTCAAAACGAGTCGCACTGTGTCTCAGAAGTGACGTCACTATTTGGCATCAGTCTTGCTTACGTCCTTACATACATACATACGGGGTAACGTAGTTAGTTGAGGCACTATGCTACAAGCAGGAAGGTCGCGGATCCATTCCCGATGAGCTCATTGAATTTTTCAGTTGATCTAATCCCTCCAACCGTACTATGGGCCTGGGGTCGACTCAGCCTCTAACAGAAATGAGTACCAGGAATCTTTCTGGCGGTAAAGGACGTCCGGCGCCTAAGGCTGGCAACCTCACCACCATCTGTGAGCCGATTTTCTAGAAAATGTGGGAGCCTCGACGTCCCAAATCCTATGGGCTTCCACGGCCTGTTCCAGGGATAGCTTTACTTTTTACCATGTTTTATCAGTCTCTCATCCGACGCTGTATAGTCTCGATAATAAGAGTCGTGAAGTAGCCACAGATTTTCGTAGCCGTTAGCATCAGGCTGCCATCTTGCAGTTATCAGGAGAAGGTTTTGGTGGTTGGGACGGATCAGACAAGGCAGGACAAGAGAACTTTTGAAAGGAAGCCAAGACGTGGAAGAAAAGTGGGAAGGTCCAGACTGAATGGCTCGAATACTTTACGAGAACTGGAAATGAAAAAAATGGAAGCGAGAGACAAACAATAGACAAGAACGGGAGTCTGTCTTTTACTGATGGGCTCCTTTACGACGCTCACGGTACTTCTGCTATAACTGTGAATGGTAGGAGAAAGATATATTATGAATTGGAAAGGAAATTATCGTGGTCTAATTGAGGCATTATATCGGAATTTGCCTCAAGGACTGAGAGAAGCACCAGGAACCTCATAACAGTAAGTGTTCCAGTCGAAATTCAAACCGAGCCCCTCCCGAGCGTATGCGTAACGCGTTAACACGATGCCTGTCGCAGTGAGGAGCGCAGACCCACGAGGAATAGGAGAGCATCTGACGTCAGTACAAACCGTTAACAGAAGCATACCAAAAACTATGTCCTTTTGTTTAGGGGATTTACAGATCGGTGGTTGGCACCACTAGGGCATATAAAGGAATACCAAGTTGTGCATCTGGCAGGTTGGCATAGCGGTAATGCTGCGGATTGTATTCGTGACGTACTCGCATTCGAATCTCGCCCCGGGCAATACCTATCATGAGAGGCGTTTCATGGTTTTCCGCAGTCCATCCAGACAAATTCTGCGATAGCACCTCAAATTATACCACGACCGCTTCTTTCCACATCCTTTCCACTTCATCATTCGCTGTTTTCAAATTTTTAGACATTCTGATTGACCGTGTCCCTAAAGTGAAACCATCTTAAGGAATGTGACTCCGTGAAGTCCGATAAAAGTTCGATGACGTTTCGCAGGAACGCAATGCCCCCGTCTCCATCCAAGTGAACTTATTACGCTCTTCCGAAACGTCGGTGAACTACTGACTTGTAACTATAAGGAATAATACTCGTTGAATATAACGCCATGTAGTCTGGTATAAGTTAAGTGATGTTCTGAAGGAACGTTCTCTCTCCACATTTAAGGTGGAGGCAAGCTGTATAAGTTCGCCGACGTTTCGGAGGAACATACTATCACTCTTTACGGATGGCTATAGACTGGTTATGGATTGGTGAATGGGTATTGAGCACTTACACCACTCGGAACTACAAATAATTACAGCGCTATCGTTAATCTTCACGCTTAAGAAACTATCACAGCACCCGCTAAGCCTTTTCCCAGCCAGCTATGTCTTCATCAGCCGTTCCCTGGCAACAGCTTCTAACAACGGAGATTTTTCAGCATCACACGCTCAGGTTCTATCTTCACAGCTTCCCTTGCAGAACAGAAATCACAACTGACAACTGCCTAACTACCCAGGTTGGCGGCCATTTCACAAGAGCCTCCTAGTTTTCTCTTCGCAGGCTTTAAACTAACTGGGTCAAAGTCTAAGTTACTTTACGACTGACCAATCAGTTCGTCTTGGCGTCAGGCCCCGTGATCGCCCCAATTGTCTTCAACAAAACTCATCAACACGAACCACATAGAAAACACGCTCCCCGTTTCCATGTTGTAATCAAACTGTTGCAGCTGTCTAGCAACGGACTGCATAACACCGTTTCCAGCAGTAACTGTATTGTTATAAAGGCGTGTTTAACATGCCGTTGCGTCGGTGTTTGTTTCGAGGTCTTTGCGTAACAACGGGTCTATACGCCAGAATACTGCCTCCATCCTTTAGGATTAAAGTAGTGAGTTCCTCCGAAACGTCGGTGAATTTCTGCCGGATTACACCGCGTCATATCCCAGAAAGTACTACTCTTCGTCGTCAACTATCGAATCCAACAAGCCATTAATTAATTAATTCAGCCTGTCGCTCGTAATGATGCCATTCTACGTTACACGAGTCTGCAGTCCTTAAATAAATTAAGAATCAATTAGCATTGTGCTACTTTACTTATTGATATCACGTGATTAGATTATACCTGGCTTGCTGAAAGCATAAGCGTGTTTAATGTCAATGCGCAATTGAATTCCTATTGATTTGCTGTAAATCATTTCGACTTGAACAATTCTGAGATAGCCTACATTGACCTCTTCATAACTTTATCAGGCAGCACACACGTACTGTTAGTGACAGCATGGAAAGTACATTATTATTGTACATATAATAAATTATTTCGTATTAATTTCTTTGTTCCTCTGTATACAGTAAAGTCGTAATGAGTGCATTCCATGGAAAACACAGTGAGCCCCTAGAGCGCTGCACGCGCTGGGCGGGAGTAGCATTAATTCTTTAGGTTCTGCCAATAATGGACGCTTTGTTGTCAGATGTAATTTAAAGAAAAATTCTTATTCAGAAAAGCCTCTTGATACTTGTATTTTTTTTTATAAATGGATGTTATGATTGGACTGTCATTGCGTGGGACGCCTAAAACGAAGTTCAAAGTACAGTGGATGCGCACAGTACACTGATGTAGAGGGAGCAGGGGGACACGGTAGCGTAGTTGGTTGAGGCACTACGCTACAAGCCGGAACATCCCAGCTTTGATTCCCTATGAGAGCATTCGATTTTTCAATTGACCTAATCTCTCCAGCCGCACTATGGCCCTGGGGTCTACTCAGTTTCTAACAGAAATGAGTACCAGGAATCTTCCTGGGTAATAAAGGGCGACCGGCGGGTAGGCTAACAGCCTCACCGCCATCTGTGAGCCGATTTTCTAAAAAATAATGGCAACCTCAACGTCTCAACAATCATATGGGCCTCCACGGTCTGTTACAGGGATAGCTCTGCCTTTCACTGATGTAGACTTGCATTCGAGAGGTCCTCGGTTCCATCCGCATCGGTTGTCCTTACTCGGGCTTTTCCCTGCAGGAAAATTCCTGCATTTTACCTCAATTAGTCGACCGAGAGATTTATTCTAACCGCATTCAAATTCATCTTTCATCATCTATCTTGCCATATGACCCTATATACTGGCTCTCTTTGCTACCTGCTTCACGCTAGTTTCTTGCTTGAATTTTTCTTCGAACCTGAAGATGGAGGTGAAATGTTCCTCCGAAACATCGACTGACTTTCAACGAACTACACGGCGTTCTATCCCAGAAGATATGACTCTTCACAACCATTGATGTAAGAATCTCAAATCCGACGTGATATATATAATGTTGATAATGAAAACATCGTTAAACAACCCTCAGACAGAGTATGAGTCTGTCTTTCTGTTGCAGTGTGTTCCAGGAGATGCTGTACGGCATATCGACGGGGTTCGGATCCCCGCAGGTACCGGTAGCTGAGTTGCTGGCCAGAGCTGTTCCAACCCTCCATAGTCCCCAGAAACCGAAGAGTAGCAATTTCCTGCAGGTTCCAGACATCGAGTCACCCAGGTACGTACCCCTCGTGTACCCCTGCAACCACTGAAAACTTTCCATTCGTGTGTGCACATTTCGAAATACGTAGAACTTCAAGTGATCAAGTCAAGGAGGAAGAGATGGGCAGAACATATAACACGGATGGGAGAGTAATGCATGTTTGGTTTTCATGGGAAAGCGAGTAGGAAAGAGGTTACTAAGAAGATATAAACATAAATAGGAGGACATTAGCATGGATCTCAGATAAAAAGAATGGGGTGCTATAGACTGGATTCAGCTGGCACATGATAGGGACCAGTGGAGGGATCTTGTGAACACGGTAATAAACATTCGGGCTCCATAAAATATTTGGAAATTCTTGAGTAGCTGAGAGACTGATTGCTTCTCGAGAGGAACTCAGCTCCATGCAGTTAGTTTGTTTATTTGTTACATACTTACACCCTGAAAGTAAAAGATATAACTAATTTCGTCAATAAGCGAACTGCAGTGTACAGAGTTGGACAATGCCGATTCTTGGAGGTGTATTTCATACAGACGACGTTTCGAAAGGTGGTTCCGATACCATCTTCAGGTCAATTGTTCCCATTGCACTGACAAAATGATATTATTTACTCGTATTTTGATATTAGTGTTGTTAATTGGGATCGAACTCGGGAAACTTTGAATACTAGACTAGTACTTTAAGCACTAAGTCAGTGTGTGTGGCCAGTTACCTGAATAAGGTAGTAGAGCCAACAGCCGAAACGTTGTGTATGTCAAATATACGTCAGAAGATGAAGATGTATGGAGGATGGCTGTATAATCCATATTTTCTCGACCACGACATTAGTTTGAGGTGAGCGGCCAGCTTCACGCTCCGGCCGCTTCATCTCCGGGGAAAGAACCCCCGTTGCATAGTGGATAGGAGACTGAGTGTGCTGCAGAATCGGACTGGGTGAGGTGGAAAAGAAAATAAATTACAAATACCAAAGCTTGTTATTGGAAACAGTGCTCAGTTACCTCATCCATCTTAGCATTATCCTCCCATCTCCTCTTCACTCATTTTATAAAATGTTTCCCCACAAAAATTCTGTATGAATTCCTTGTGTTCCCCATTCTAATATCCTACCCATCCCATCGCGATTAAGGAATCGTACTGTATTTTGGTGGTTGGATAGGCATTCAGTTTATGGTATTCTGTACTGTAGTTAGTTAGTTAGTTATTGGAGAGAGCGGGTTTCCCCATGCACCGCGACCAGTTTGATCTATTGTGCTTCCCTCTATGATATTCTACCAGTCTCTATACCCTACCGATATTGGTGAGTACCATCAGTCCCCACCGAGCCAGCGAGTTCGGTCTCAACTAGCTTGGCCGTATCTATAATGCTTTCCCCATCTATCAAAGGCTTTAGAGACTATTGTTGGGCGGGAAACGTCCTTGAATTTGGCTTGACGCCAAATTCAAGGACGATATTTTCGGCCTTATGTTCAATTCATGGTTATGAATGATTCNGGGACACACGGCTTAAAGTCCCTCCCGGAGGACTTGTTCCCTGAATTTTTCCGCCCTTAAAAATTCCACGAATTCCGCCGGGTTTGAACCCGCGTACCACGAGTCATGAGGTGGGAACGTTACCTCTAGACTATGGAGGCCGCTATTCTGTACTGTAAATATTTTACAAGATATTGCCTGTTTTTACGAAATCCGAAGGTAGGTGACTGTTCAGAAACTCAAACTGTTTGACCCCAACTGAAAATAAGTTCAATCAAATGCAGAATTTCACTTTCAGTTTAATATATGTACTACTTCAATATTATCATTCTGCTTGCTCGTAGGTTTTCAAGTTCCAATACGTTACTTGAAGTCATTACAACGAACCTATTCAAGTTCTGTCACATTTGACCATTAGGTCAGGTGGTAATTCGTTAAACTATGACGGTACAAGGGACTGTCTCACCTCACACATGCAAATACGTAAATTGTATAATTCTGTCCTACTACTGCGTGAGGTTTAGGCACGTTACCCTTGTACAGATGTTATCATCAGCCTTTCGTATTATAACTGAATAAATCACTATTTTTATCTCATGAAATGAATGCACATTTCGGAATACAATTATATACTCTTGGTTCTACGTCTCCCCCACCCCAAAAACTTTGCCCTTCTACACGACATATTCTGTTATTCTCCATAAATAAAGGTAAAGCTACCCCTATAACAGGCTGCGGAGGCCCATAGGCTTGTGAGACGTCGATGCTCTCACATTTTCTAGACAATCTGCTCACAGATGGCAGTGAGGTTGTCAGTCTTACGCACCGGCCGCCGTTTACTCCCAGGAAGATTCCTGGCACTCATTTCTGTTAGAGGCTGAGTCGGCCCCAGGGCCATAGTGCACCTGGGAAGATTGGGTCAGTTGAAAAATCAAATGACCTCATCGGGAATTGAACCCGCGACCTATCGGCTTGTAGGATAGTGCATCAACAACATGCTCTACCGCGTGGCCCCTATTACTTACCTTATGCCTCCATCTCTTTATTTAAGCTTTCATGTCATTCACTACATCTTCCAGCCATCTTAGTCTGGGTCTTCCAACTCTTCTTCTACCTTCAGATTATTTTCAAATGCTTTCTTTGCCACCTTCGTTTGATCCATTCCATTCGCACACCGTAAGAACTGGAGCTCCCCAATTTTAATATCCCCTACCAGATCGGGCTTTATACGAGCTTCACGGTTCTTGGTCAGTTCTGATTCTGCAGATCCCTTCCTTAAGTTACTGGCCAATACGCTTTTCTTTTCCCACATATATAACCTATTTAAAATGTGGAATTATTAAATTTGAAACAGTGACGCTTGTTGGCAGCCAGCAATAACTTGTTCTTTGTTAAGAGCACGGTTGAAATGTAACCACTGAAGTCTGCACTTCAACTTAACTGCTCTTGTCAGCGCGAGAGGCCAACAGCCAGCTTCCCCCTCCCCCCTCACGGTTGCAGTTGGCGACCGTAAGCAAGACCATGCTAGGGAATCATTCATAACCATGAATTGAACATAAGGCCGAAAATATCGTGTTCTAACGGCCATATTCATTGTACCAATGAGATAATGACCTTAAGCGTTGCTGATAATACTTTCTTACAGATTCCTTTAGAATGGACGTCAGTTCTTGCGAAGTTATTTTCTTCTATAATCTGTGTCACGCTGTGATGACGTTTGTGTCATCGTGTCAAGCTCTTTAGGATATGCGTTTTATCATAATCTGGCCAACAGAAACAGCTGGATTCTAAACTGTTCTGACAACGGCGTGTAACACTCGGAATTACTGGGTTTCTTTTGGGGGACTTTGTCCATTGTCCGGTGTTTGAAAGAAACAGTAGAGAACTGGGACGCAAGCAGACCCAGTTTCCGAAACATTGTGTTTTCTGTTGGGCCACGCGGCACCGTGGTTGGTTGAGGCACTATGCTGCAAGCCGGAAGATCGCGGGTTCGAATCCCGATAAGGTCATTGGATTTTTTCAATTTACCTAAAAACCTTCCAGCCACACTATGGTCCTGTAATCTACTCAGCCTATTAACAGAAGTGAGTACCAGGAATCTTCCGGTGGGGGGTGTAAAAGGCGGCTGGCGGAAGGCTGACAACCTCACTGCCATCAGTGAGCCAATTTTCAAGAAAATGTGGGAGCCTCGACGTCTCACAACCCTGTGGCCCTTCACGGCCTGTTACAGGGATAGCTTTACCTTTGCCGTTCACCTTCTGTTCTCTGGTGTTTTTTAGAATACGGGACGATTCCGAATTATAGCAGAAAATTTAATCATAATAATGTCTTTTATTTAAATATAAGGGAAATTGGGTGTTTTAGGGAAAATGGGAATGGAAAAAAGTAAGGGGAAAAGGTAAAGTTAGCCCTGTGTTTCATTAATTAAGAAATTAAACACCATGAAATGAAGACTTATGGAGGAGTGAAAGTATAGCTCCACCATTCTTTACCTGAGCACTAGATTCAATGCNTAGTTAGTTATTGGAGAGAGCGGGTTTCCCCATGCACCGCGACCAGTTTGATCTATTGTGCTTCCCTCTATGATATTCTACCAGTCTCTATACCCTACCGATATTGGTGAGTACCATCAGTCCCCACCGAGCCAGCGAGTTCGGTCTCAACTAGCTTGGCCGTATCTATAATGCTTTCCCCATCTATCAAAGGCTTTAGAGACTATTGTTGGGCGGGAAACGTCCTTGAATTTGGCTTGACGCCAAATTCAAGGACGATATTTTCGGCCTTATGTTCAATTCATGGTTATGAATGATTCCCTAGCATGGTCTTGCTTACGGTCGCCAACTGCAACCGTGAGGGGGGAGGGGGAAGCTGGCTGTTGGCCTCTCGCGCTGACAAGAGCAGTTAAGTTGAAGTGCAGACTTCAACTTAGGTATCCAAGCAGATATCCGGTGTCAAAACCCGCACGCCTGAAACATGGAGCAAGAGAAACGAATAGCATATTGCAGTGTCCGAGAAATAATGTTCCTGTAGTACCATCACAGAGAGATGTTTATCAGGGCATTGGCCAACTTCCTTCAGCAAAATTTATTTGAAATGAGTCGTCATATCCATGCATGGTAATAAGAAATGTTGTGAAATGTGCACAATGACAGAACCCCACCGTCTACTAACAGTTGAACGTTGAACTCAACATGTGTTCAGGTTCATTAGCATCAATGCTTGATGACGCAACATTTGGGCAGTCTTTGTCGACATGAATTACGTCAGTGACATCTGCTGTGTACGGCTGTCAGTATTCTGACATTTTTAGGCGTAAAGAAAAGAGGAATAATATGAGAAAAATAGTATTTTACGGCATTGAATTTCCCCTGCGTCCAAACTGTATATTTTCTTTGAGTATTCGCCTGTCATTCGTAACTGAACTAACGCAATTGACAGAATTCTTGTCTTTGGCACTTCAGCCAACCCATGAAACTCTCCGTTTCACTTCGGTTTACTAGATCTTAGACTTTCAGTAGGACTCCTTGGGCGGGTGATCAGCTTT